TGGGGGGGGGGGGGGGCGTGGCCTCCGTCTACCCTGCGATCTCCGTTGCTGTGGTGACGAGTTTCTGACCATCCCAGACGGTTTTAAACTGCTCAGGAACAGGAAGCTCCGTCTGAACAAATGGAAACAAAGAATCAGCTAAAACATCCCAGAGTAACAGCCAGACGAGCTTCGGCTTATTAGACGTGAAAACACGAGCCGAAGCTCTTTATAAGTGTTGGTCCATCTGGAGGATGGTGGGACTCACAAACTCTCCGTCCTTGTTGGGGACGAGGACGTTCATCTCGGAGCTCTTGGCGCTGACGATCTCGCAGCTCAGGGAGTCTTTGCTCAGGTAAACATGGCAGCCGTCCGTCTTGTTGATGGAGATGGTCGGGATCTTCCCCAGAACCTGCCGACACAAACGTGGACGGTGTCTTCGTGTGATGGAGGCCACAACTCTGATGCGTCGACATGTCATTCGTCCTATTGTCGTATCGTCTGTGTGTCATTTGCTGCATCATGTCGAGTCGTCATGTTCTCGTGTTGTGTCATGGTGCTGTGATCGTGTTGTTACCGTCTCCACTGGTTCTCTTGGACCATGTGATCCAGTTGATCACAATATTTTACTACAGAGACTTGAATATGATGTTGGGATTACAGGAACGGCTCTAAAATGGTTTAAATCATATCTATCTGATAGATTCCAGTTTGTAAATGTAAATAATAAATCTTCTTCATACACCAAAGTTAGTCATGGAGTTCCTCAAGGTTCAGTGCTTGGGCCAATACTCTTTACTTTATATATGCTTCCATTAGGTAAACAGCATGGGATAAATTTTCATTGTTTTGCTGATGACACACAATTATATTTGTCCATAAAACCCAATGAATCCAATCAGCTACTTAGACTACAAGCATGTCTTAAAGACATAAAAACCTGGATGACCCTTAATTTTCTCCTGTTGAACAGACAAGACTGAGGTTTTGGTTTTTGGACCTGAGCACCTTAGGAATGAATGTTTCAGTCTTTCTCCCTCCTTAGATGCATTAATCTGTCCTCCAGCTCTAATGTTAAAAATCTTGGTGTTATTTTTGATCAGGACATGTCTTTTATCCCCCACATTAAAAACGTTACTAGAACCTCCTTCTTCCACCTGCGTAATATCACTAACATTAGAAACATCTGATCTAAAGATGATGCAGAAAAACTGGTCCATGCATTTGTCACGTCTAGACTGGACTATTGCAATGGTTTATTATCTGGGTGTCCAAATACTTCTTTAAAACGTCTTCAGTTGATCCAAAATGCTGCTGCCAGAGTCTTAACTGGAGTTACTGGGAGAGATCATGTCTCTCCAGTTTTAGCTTCTCTCCATTGGCTCCCTGTCAAATCCAGAATAGAATTCAAAATCTTACTTCTAACCTACAAAGCTCTCAACAACCTAGCTCCATCTTATATTACAGATCTTATTGTTCCATATTTTACTAACAGAGCACTTCACTCTCAGACTGCAGGTTTACTTGTGGTTCCTAGAGTTTCCAAAAGCAGAATGGGAGGAAGATCTTTCAGTTCTCAGGCTCCTCTCTTGTGGAACCAACTTTCAGTTTCTGTCCATGAGACTGACACATTGTCCAGTTTGAAGACTGGGATTAAGACTTTCCTTCTTGATAAATCCTATATTTAGGGTTGGCTTGTTATGCTGCTATAGACTTACACTACTAGAGGACAAATTTACCCAATTTCCTTAAATTAATTGCTAAAACAGAATAATTTTCATTTGATACTATTTCTATCTTAACATGTGATTCTTGACCTGCCATTGTGTATCTATTCCTACCAAACCCAGCCGGTCGAAGCAGATGGTCCTCTTGTCCTGATCCTGGTTCTGCTAAAGGTTTCTTCCTCATGAGGGAGTTTTTCTTTCCACTGTCGCCTTCATGCTTGTTCAAGATGAGAGTTCAGTGATGGAGTTAAACTCAAAGCTGCTCCTCACATAAATAATGTTCAATTATTATTTTATACATTAATGTTGCTCTTCAGTGCCTGAGACGATTCTATTGTGACTTGGAGCTGAAGAAATAAACTGAACTGAATTGAATTTTTGGCTTTAGTCACAATTAAGAATGGCTGAAAGTTGTCTTTTTGGTCAAAGATATCCCCTTAGTTTTAACAGGTGATTCTGATGAACTTCTTAGAGAACCACCAGAGCAGACGAAATGAATTGGAGTTTGTTTTGGACCAAATGTCAACATTTACCATACCATTTTATTTATAGAGCACTTAAAACAGCTACAAGGCCAACCAAAGTGCTGTACAGACAGAACAACAGGTAACACACAAAGCAAAATACAAAATGAGGTAAATCAGAATATAGACATAAAAACGATGCAGATAATGACGACAAACCAGTGTGGAGCATACAGGATCAAACACAGATCATCTGGTGTTGAAAGCTACTGAATAGTAGTGAGTTTTGTTGTGGATAGAATACCACGTCGTGTTCAAAACGGCTGAGGCGTCGCCCTTCGTATAAAAGATTTATTTGACACAACATGGGTTACAGATATTCAGAGACAAACAATTACATTAATAAGATATATGCATATAAATGGAGCATTAAGAACGAACCGTCGCCATGTGCGCCTCCCGGAAAATGCTCGGTGGGCGTGTGTCATTTCCGGCCTTTTATCCCAGTTTGAGAAGGCTAGCTTCCTGATTGGTTCAGCTTCTGTCGCTATGGTTACGACTTAGCCCGCCCCCTCAAGGACGTTAACGTCTATATTTCAGATAAGTTTTGGTACACCGAAATCGGCTTTTGTTTAAAGTTTAACTTGCTATTATACTTTAGGGATACAAAAATGATTCGTGTCAAATTGTTTATACGTAATTATTAATTATTATCTACCTCATGGGTGTTAATTCAATATCTGTTGAAGGCCTGGTGATTCTGTTTTTTAAGGCAGATTCATCTTAGTTTCCTTGTCTGCGTTTAAACTGTTAACACTGTTTGTTTAACGTGATTATACCTTAGTGATACCAACTGATTAGAAATAAAGTTGTTTATTTCTAGGAATAATTATATTATCTAACTTATGTTCGTGTTTTTATTTGGATCATGGTTATACTTTTAATTTGATTTTACTTAGTCAAACTATATTGTCTAAATTAAAGAGCTGTGTTCTAGCTTTATTTATGTTAATCAGTCTGCTCTCTGGCCTGATTTGATTGCTTGTAATTTATCAAATGTGAACTTGTAAAATTATCCTTAGCTACTATGAGATTATATTTAAAGGTCAACTAGTTAGAATTAGCAAACATTTTCTATAAACATAGTTCAACCTTGGAAGAAAGACACGCACACCCTTTATGTGACATGACATTTGAATGCTTGATAGGAATTATAAAAATGTATAAAATATTAAATCCAACAGTTTTTAAACGGGACTTGAAAAGTGAGAGGGAGGGGGCCTGTCTGACAAGCAGAGGTAACTCGTTCCAAAGTCTTGGTCCTGCTACAGAGAAGGCCCTGTCACCTCTGCACTTAAGACGAGATCCTGGAACTGTGAGGAGCAACTGGTCCGCTGACCTCAGGGAGCGTGGTGGGACATACGGTTGTAGCAGATCAGAGAGATGGGGGGGGGGGGGG